GCAATGGGCTTTGGATCCAAGGCCACTGGCGGAAAGGCCGGCAGGTTCTATGTCGTCAATGATCCTTCAGATGATTATACCGACCCAAAACCAGGTATTATATTGTCTGATCATCTTATTTAATAGTTTAAACTATTAGAAAAAATACACTTTTATTTAATTGATTATATCTGCAATACAATAGGAACCCTACGTCATGCTGTTATTCAAAAGGAGCCATTGTGGATCATATTTGACAGAGGAATGACAATTAGGCTACACCAGGAGTTGATCATGCAGAGTGATAAAACTATCGATGCTCGTGGGGCTAACGTTCACATTTCTGGTGGCGCTGGTATATATTATACTTGAATTGTGGATTATCACATTTAAAGTTTAAATTGTTTGAAAGGAAACACTTTTTATTACCTATATATTCATGTTATATCTCGACAGGTATCATGATCCAGTATACAAAAAACGTGATTATCCATGGCCTACACATTCATGACATTGTCCAAGGAAATGGTGGAATGGTTAGAGATGCAGTGGACCATATTGGACTACGCACAATGAGTGATGGAGATGGCATTTCCATATTTGGTGCGTCCAATATTTGGATTGATCATGTGTCGATGTGGAATTGCTATGATGGAATTATTGATGCTGTTGAAGGATCCACTGGTATCACCATATCTAACGGCCATTTCACAGATCATAATGAGGTGATGTTGTTTGGTGCAAGTGATAGTTCTTCAATAGATCAACAAATGCAAATTACACTAGCATTCAATCATTTTGGAAAGAGATTGGTGCAGAGAATGCCCAGGTGCAGATGGGGATACATTCATGTTGTTAATAATGATTATACTCACTGGAATATGTATGCTATTGGTGGTAGTAAAAATCCTACCATTATTAGCCAGGGTAATCGTTTCATTGCTCCTCCTGACATCTTCAAGAAGCAGGTAATTTATCTCCTTTATTTGTTAGTTTATTTGTTCATTTTCAAAACTTTTGATCGTTTATGAGCACGGTGGATTTAAGATTTTTATAACATAAGCGCACCACTAGAGAAAGGAGAAAAAGTAAATATTATGTGGGAATTGTACCACTAAAGAAAGGAGAAAAAATAAATATTATGTGGGAATTGTACCACTAAAGAAAGGAGAAAAAATAAAGTATAAAGTGGGAATTGATCCCTACTCGAGTCTATTCAATCAAGTGCACCATTTAACGTTTTTGGATCATGGGTGTCAACAGATAATATTAGATCAATTCTAGAAAATATGTACATAAAATACCTAATTTGACGAAAAGATTACGGGTTTACGTGCCCCATATATTGAGATGTAAATCCGCCCTTGTAATTAAGAGTTACAACCAAGGAGTGTGGTGGAATTATTCACTCTCAAACAAAGATCTTGAATTGGAATACTAATTATGAAGCACCCTTGGTGAAGCCCTTTATTTTGAGGCCATTGTTTGAATTCAGTTCAGATTAGCCCACTGCGCTAACAGGGACAAAATTTAAGAAGTGGCCATACGGTGCAAATTATTTCATTATCCCATCTTATAGGTTATATATGTATGTCAAAAACAGATTACAAAGAGGGAATACTCTCCAGAATCAGTGTGGATGCAGTGGACATGGAGATCAGAGGGAGATTTATACATGAATGGGGCATATTTTGTTCAATCTGGTGATCCTGATTGGTCAAAGAAACATCAAAATCTTTACGATGGAATATC